ACCCCCCCACCAAGCAAGTTTTCAAAACCACCTTTCTCTCAAATACCTCTTACACCCTACTCCAGGAGAGCACAAGCTGTCCAAGAGCTGCCAGCCATCAGCCAGGGGGGAGCCAGAATGACAGGGGAAGTGGTGAAGGGCAAAGGAAAAAAAAGCCCCTTTTTTTCTAACAGAGACTACTTTCATTTCAACGTAACAGGATCTGAGCAGCGCAGTGAAAAAGCCAACAAAATCTTTTTTTTTTTTTTTAAATGTAAACATTCTCTGCATAAGGTGCAGGGCCTTGGATGTATTTACAGTGACATAGAAAAGAGTTTGTAAAATACAGATCAAGAGTCAGAAATGTAGCTACCACTTAATGCTTCTGAAGAAGACAGAATTGGAGAAACGTACAGCATTCAATTCGTCAACACTTACACGGCTAAAATGCTTTCAAAACTCCATGGCTAAAAGCATCCCACCATTGTAACAAACTAAGATAGGCTTTTTTTAATAGTTTTTCAAAAGTTTTTACATTATTTACTAACAATGGATATATATGCAGAAGCATGTCACACTACAGCAATATTTATCAACCGGCCATCTGCTTCACCAGGGTTACCCACGTTGCCGTGTGTTCCCTTGTCGCTCCAGTGAACCCTTTTCCTCTCCTCCCCAAAGCAACTTTGGAACTTTCTGTGAAAAGCAAAGAGGAGCTGAGTTTTGTTTGGTTGCTCCTGGGGCGAGGTTTTTTTGTTGTTGTTGTTACTACTACTTTTAGGATTGGGAGTCTATTAAAAAACCCAACTCATAACACTGCTGACTCGCATCATTTAATTTTCAAAAATACTTCCCAGATCCAGAGAAGCAAAGGGTTTCTGAAAACTACAAAGTTCTTGCAGTGCAGCTATTCCGAGCTGTGTTTTCGGCAGAGGACACCAATAAACTGTGATGCACAAAGAGCCAAGGAAGTCAATGAAACCGTTAGGAGCTGGATGCTCTGAAGGAGCAGCTTTGGAAGACGACCTTCTGCAGCGCACTGAGCAACGTGCCTACAGCATCTGAGGGGTTTCTGGAGCTCCCTCTCCCCAGCAGACTACGTGTGTGTTCCTGCCTCTCTGCCTTTCGAGCTGTTCTGGAGCGTGGACTTTCACCAGGTTATTACTTCTGGGTCAGGCAGAAGCAACGATAAAGTGTATAAAAATCTGAATCACGTCAAACAGACCTGTCACTAACGTGGTAAAAAACCTTATCTACCGGCACCAGTTCACAGGCAGAGCTAATCAGGAATGACACAAAGGGATGAAGGGTCTAACAAATAATAATAACAGAAATATTACTATTTCTCACTTGTCTGTACTTGGCATTGCAGCTCACGGCCGTGTGCGTTACAAAACCTGTTGCATCGCTTCAACTACACCCAAGGCACGGCAGGGCAGGGGGTAGCACACCAGCTGGCACACCAGAGCCCAGCGGGCTCCTAGCCATCCCCACCATGAGCAGCCACTGGTGTTGGCCACAGAGACCCGCACGGGTCCTGGGGCTGCCAGCTGAACAGTGCTTTAGTGCTTTGTTAGTCTCACTTCAGCCGTGACTACTCTGCTCTGCAACCAATGAGCCTTCCTCCGTCCCTCCATCCTCCTCCGGGCACACCGGGAGCCTGGCTCTGCCCCGGGAACCCGCACGAGTCCCACGGGAGCCACAGCCTGGCTTCCCACACTGGCCTTTGCACCAAAAACCACCTCCTATGACAAAGACAAGGCATTTCAGTGACAGAAATGACAGTTCTCTCAACGTATATTGCAACCTCTAGTCAGACACAGGGGATATGTTGGTCAACATGCTTTTTACATATAGATATATTTTGAAACTTAGAATTTGTTCCTAATACAAATCTTGTAGAATTTGTTTCCAGCACGGTATGTGCTCAGCACATCTGTCATTTTATACAGAAGAGGTTGAAAAGTCCTCACTTTTGCCTATAACAGCATTTTACCATTGAATTTCTTCAGTTTTAGATATGTGCTTAAAGGGTAGGAGGGGGGAGGCTGTTAGAGAAAAATTATTTTCATGAACCAATTCTCTGCTCTATGGAAAGCCCACTCACAACACGGCCTTCAGATCATCACCTTGCTCCCCGACATAAAAGCAATTAATATAAAACATGGTCACCTATTACGGCATAATAAAACTGAATCTTTTCCGACTAAGAGGGGGGAGAGGGAAAGAAGCAGCTTTCCCAGCTCCTACACACTGTAGTCTCAAAAACAGAACATGGTGACAATTACCTGACTGAAACTAGAAAAAGAAAAAAAAATAATCAACAAAACATATACTACAAAAAAAAGTAGTGTTTTAGTGTTCACAGTTACAGAACTGTCACCCTGGTTTGCTCCTCCTTAATCCATCACGATTTCCCCCCACCCAGGAAGGACTGCAGGGAAATGACATCGTAAAGATCATTTATACAGAGATGTACGTTACGCCTTATGAGACAAGTAGTGTCTTCCTGGCATAAAACCATCCTTTGCCCAGTGAAAATCTGAGTTTTTTTGAGTTGTTTCTGTATCAAATATTTTTTCCCCCCTCTGGAATGCAAAAGATGTGGCTGTGAAAACCCAGTATAGTAAATGATATGTCCTAAAAAAACTCCACAATAGAAAACTTTTGTTATAGATTAGTATTTATCAGCTTCGATTTAATCTTTAAAAAGAAAAAAAGAAAACCAAGTCACTTTGGTGCTTATGAGAACAGGGAACTAATTTTCCTTTACGCAGCTCTGCCACTGCACTTCAGTCATCCTGCACCAAACTGGGGCTAAAGGAGCTCTCAGAAAACCACGGGCTTAATACAACACAGGGACCAAAAAGCAAGCTGTATTTATCTGGGGAAGGGTGGGAAATGCATATAGAACGTGGATCTGTTTTCCGACCATCAATGTAAATCCTGCGCCTGCTTCCACCTGCTGGGAAAGACTCGAGATGCTGCACGAGTGACCTCTGCTCGTCCTGGCTCTACGCTGATGCTCACAGAGCAAGAACTCCCTTCGAGTCCAAGAAACCCAGTTCAGTGGAATTAATGAAGGGACAAAAGTAGTAAGTTTAAAACTGTCAGTGTAACCCACCAGTTTCACCAGCAGACGAGATAGAGCTGGGACAACTGTAGCTTTAGACCATTGACTCAGAGTGGGAAGACAGAAACCAATAAAAATAGGCTATTCATAGCTGAATAGCACATTTGACTTTGGAAGAAGTGAAGTCATTTCAGTGATGGCTGAAAAAAGTCAAGCAAACTAGAGATCATGTTTAAAAGGAACAGGGCATTTGATCTCAAGCAAAGGCATTACGGAAAGGGGTGCAGAGCAGCCAACGGAACAGAGAGAGCATCGCTAACTGAGGGAATAAGAAATTAGATTCCCCCCCTCAAAATACGCTCCGATTCAAATTTTTGAGACTACAAAAGGATTTGTCGTTTGCCAAAAGGGCTCCTCTTATATTCTGAAGGGAAAGCACTGGCTGTGAAACCAGTGTCATGCTCTGGGCCACGGGTGCATGTTGGTGAGAATACCTCCAGTTGTCCTGGCTGGAGACTCACCAGAGCTAGAGGACTGGCTGCCGCTTCAAATGACACTCACACGAAAAGCTGAAAGCCGTGTGCTGTGGGGTCCTCCTCACCTTTTTCTCACCTTTGTGCCCTCTAGGATCCAAGCAGGCAGAGTTGCAATCCACTGCATCTGGGTGCAACTGCAGTTTACCCTGGACGTGTGACACTGGTGCCATTTGACAACGGTGATGCACCCACCGCAGACCAGCGCATCACCCCCCTTAGCTAAGCCTGATAAAAGCCTCTTAACGATCTGAGTGACATACAGTAACTTGGCAGGCAAGTCCTCAGGTGCCAGTGAGCCAGTAAACTTCGGGCTAAGTCAGTCTTGTAGCAAGTAAGTTTACAGTACAGTACGTGAGAGTATACATTGACTAAGTTATTGCCTAAGGCTCCGGCGGGCTGCCTTCCCAGCTCGGGAGCCAGCAATGGCACAGGACTGCGTTGCCATCTTGGAATGTACAATTGCTTGGTCTGAGCATCGCCAGGAGCTGCCCACGGGGGACAGAGACCGAGCCCCCAGCCCCGCTCCGTGCCTGGGCAAAGCAGGAGAGTCAGGTCACACCAGCCAGGACCCCCATGAACACGCAGCGTGGGACCTCCCCAGGGCAGCTGCCATTCTTGCATCAACTGTACGTGGTGCTGATATGAACATTTAGAAATTGATTAATTTAATATTTTTTTTTCTTAAATAAAAGTGCTCTCTCTTGCTCTGGCTCTATGGATCACAACACCACCTACAGTTTTAAGAATCATTACATTTTTGTATTAAGTGAACTACAGTCTCTTCCCTCCTTCCTTTCCCCTCCTCCCTTTTCCCTTCCCCTTCCTTTGCCCTTGCCCTGTGCTGCCTGCTGTTGTGTTAAGTACGAGATCAGGCAACCCCCAAAGCCCAGTTTACGTTTTTATATTTTGTTTTTGCAGATCTCCATCACAGATGGAATTTTTGCTGGTCATTTCTTGGAACCAATCCATTAGCAGGACAAACCGACAGAAGAGAGTGGGCAGTGAAAACAAACCCCATGACAGAGACGGAGGAAAGAAGAATCAACGAACAAGCAGAAATCAGTTTTCCACCGGGGTGGGATTTGCTAAGGGCTGGCTCACGATGACTTGCACCACGTAGTCCTTTGGGATTTTCAGCTCCTCCAGTTTCATTTTGTCTGCCAGCGGCCTGCCCGAGAAGAACCAGCGCTGGCTGCCCGGCTCCACTCCCTCCACCGCGTGCAGCCGCCTCTTCATGTGGTACACCGTGTCCATGCTGCGGACCATGAGTTTGAGGTCTTTGCCTGTGGACAGGCGCAAACGAAGCTGACATTCGTGCCCTGAATTGGGTGGGGGATCAGGAATATCCAGAGTCTCCAGGTCGCCCTTCTCCTCTATCATGTTGATAGGTGGGGCGAGGCAGTAGACGGGAAGCTGGTACCGGTTGCCCAGTTCATCGTAACACTCTGTAAGAGCACCTTTAGGAGATAAGAGGGGAAAAAAAATGAGTATGAATTCATTACACATTTAACATTGGAGCAGTCATGCTCAGAAGCGCTGATCCTGGTGTTAAACCATCTGAGCAATGAAGTCTGAAGTAAGGATTGATACAAAAAATCTGAAGTTTTCATTAACATTTGCTTCACCTTGTTTTCATATGGAAACTTGGGGTTGATTTAAAAGCACCCCCTAAAAGCCAAATGCACCCCTCCCTCCAGATACACCGGGATAAACTTCAAAAGCAGCAGGAAGGAAGAGATGAGGGAGGAGGATGTTCTCCCCATGTGTCATTTAAAAAAGGAATATTTCACCGGCAGCGCGTGTGCACCCAGAAAATGCTACTTGGATGAATTCCACGGTCCTGAATCCGAGCTCTGAAAAGGCAAAATGGCAAAGACCAAAGGCAAAAGACCACTGTGAGAGAAAGATTTTTTAACTTCTCAAGCATTCAAAAATTGCTGAAAGGGTTTCATGTAGGACTCGTTTTAGTGATCGCTGCCAGAACAAACAAACACGACCACCCACGTCAGACCACTCGGCGGCTCCGTACAGAGAGCGGTGTCACCGCCAGAGCAGCGACACGCGGCACCACCTCACATTTGCACAGCATCTGTAACTCCCCTAGTCAAAGACCTGAGGTTGCAGGAGTGATTTTATTTCCCCAGACTCCCAAAAGGTTCCTCGGGATAATCTGGGTGTTTGTGTTAAAGACGACTGCGCAGCGGTGTGCTGCCTTGTGTACGGCATTCCTTCTTCCCAAAACGGTTCAACACACAGAGAACAGCTCAAGAATTATAACACTTACTAAAGTAACAAATACAAGCTGACTTTTTCACAGTATGAGACACACTTTATAAAGATATTTCAAGAAAGTGAGCCCTGGGGCACACAGCACACATCGCCTTGTGCGCTGAGCCGGGAAACCGAGATGCTGAGGAAGCTGCATCCTAAATCACAGCAGCGGCTAAAAAACCGCAGATACATTCCAAAGCAAATGCTTCTCCTGTTTTGAATTTACCTGCTATAACAAATTTCCACATTTTTGCCCCTAGAGGGGGCACATTCGCTTGCGAGATTACCCATCCTTTTGTAGTTGGAAATGTTTGAAGAGGAGCCAAGTCCTTGAGCTACAGAATATTTAAAAAACTCTTTGACTCGGCAGTTCTGCACACAACACCCAACTGCTCCTGCTTAGAGACTACGGGTGGGTTTTTCACGCTGACAGTCAGTTATCTTAAACTTTTTCATTTGATCAGCAAAATTACTGCAATATAAAATGATAACTTGAGGATATACCTTGTCACTTAGCCCATTGTGACAACAGCACCTTGTGCTGGAAATCTTCTTTCTTTTAAATAAAGCTCCCCTTTTTTAAGGCTAATTTGTTTTGATGAAAACACACAGAGGAAATCTTTGGCTAAAAGATCAATGTTTTAGGTGCAGCTGCTTTGGGAGGCTTTCCTGTTTGTACAGGTAGTACCAAGGCTGCTGAGCCCTGAGATTTACTGAGAAAACAAAATAAAAAAGGAAATCAAGAAAAAATCATTATACCGCTCATTACAGTCTCATATCATTTATGAATCTCAGAGCAAACTGGCTTTTATCAAAACCATATTGGATCCATACTGTTCTTGGTAGTTTGTCTGTGATTTACAGACTAAGGCCTGAAGTCCCCACACTTCAGTTTTGTTTTACAATGTTCATTTCATTCTGTACAACTGATCGATTTTGTAAATGTCACAGTACTAAATTCTGGATCACAGTTCATAGAAACAAGTAGATGTAGTTTACTGCTAAGATGAAAAAAAGAAAAAGAAAAATCCAAACTTTAGCAGCCTTCAAATTTAGCCAGAGCAGCTAAACTTGCATCTTTCTTTAAAAGTTCCTATTTTGGAATAGCGTACCGAAGAGTTAATTTTAAGTACAATGGGGTAAGCTTGCTGAGGAATTTCTTCATCATTTATATCCTTGCCCAGCTGAACTAACATCAAGGTCAAAGCATATGCTATAAACACTGGATTGCTTAATCATCATCAGATAAGCAATATTAAAAAAATCCTCTGAAACAGCAGCTAACTTGGAGGTCTGTCTTTTAAGGAAAAAACAAAAAAGAGTAGAGGAAACCTCTTGCCAATAACAACCACACAATCCCATTCCAGGCTGAGAAACATTTTATGCTAAATTGTTAACGTAACAACGAGTTACCATAAACCTCACCAGTAATCCCGTTCCTCCACTTGTACTGGCAAAAACATCCCTAAGACTCTCAAGTCCTATTACCTACCACTCAATGGCTTTCAAGCCTGGATATATTGCTTAAAGCACAGAAGACAACTATTGCAAACAGAAGACTTAAGAGGGCATCACCTTCTTCCTGGCACACCATGCCTGCTGGAGGCCAAGACGGAGCTCCAAGATGGTGGTCAGGAGTTGGTCCTCACCTCCAAAGGGGTGTGGAGCTGTGCACACAAAGCCTAGTCCTCCAAGGTGGTGACCAGGAGTTGGTCCTCACCTCCAAAGAGACATGGAGCTCTGTGCCCACAGCTTGGTCCTCCTCAGCCAGCTAACTCCCGCTGGGCTTTACAAACAAGAGAGCGTCTCTCTGGAGACTCTTTGGAGAGGGTCAGGCTCTGCTATGACCTTCGAGATGTTGCAAGTGGCAACAAACTCAAAGGTGAAGGGGTGTCGTGTTAGTCGGAGTTCAGAAGGGAAACGATGGCTGACTGAGTCTGGAGCTATTTTAAGTGACACAGACAAACGTGAGTTATCGGAGAGGAAGAGAGAAAGTGGCTGAATTACCCACAGCCAACACGGCGAGGCCTATCTCACCAGCCAGACGGCAGCTCCTCACCGAGGCACTCGCTGCAGTGTCCCTTACGCAGCGCGACGCAGGCAGGAAATCAAACATCCCAACTACAAAACCCTTCGTAATTTTGCTGCTATAATTGAAAAGCACGTTCCAGATCCTTCCCGCAAGATAGATCAGCTTGGGCCACAAAAGTTATTCAGCAGGAAGGGGCACTAAAAGAATGTCAAGCTTTTATGAGAAAACACAGAGGAAAAAAAAGAAAAAAAAAAATTCTTTTTTTTTTTTTTTTTTTTTTAGGTTTCCCTGTTACCTAGGCAACAAGGGTCCTCACCAGCCAGTTACGGCATAGGAAGGATGCAGCCTCCCTCAAACCGGAGAAGGAAAAAGCAAGGCAAACAGAGGTTTGGCAGCTGGGCGCCCCGAGCCCTCTGGGGGTCCCGCAGCCCCCTTGGACAGGTCTCCCCTTCCCTTTTTCCCCCTCCTGCCACGGATGCTGCAGCTGGACGTGGCATCAGGCAACCAGACCAGGTTCAGATGCCAAAACCTAGAGGACAAGATGGTACTTTGAGTTTCCGCTGCTGGACCATACAACAAAACTGGGAAAAAGGGGCAGATTTCAGGAAGGAAGCAGCAGTGAGGGTGGTTGGCAGGCATGCAGGTCTAAGCTGGAAGATTCTGTACGGTACCTGAAAGACCAAAATGCTATGAAAAGGTCTTACAATAATATTGAGGAGAGGCCAAATTAAGCTTCATATACTTGCATATTCTTTGTGTATTTAAATACTCATCTACATGTTGATATGGCTTTAATAAGCTCAGACACAAAATATCCTGGTAGCATCGTGAGGATTTTGAGGAAAGCCGTTGAGGAAAGCCAATGACAGAACCAACCAACAAACCTATCCACCCAAACCCTAATCCTCTCCAACTTTCTATCATTCAGAATTATGGTGCCACAGCACGTGACCTAAGGAGAGCTTCGAGGATCTCACTGGCCAACTCATTACTCTGAGATTTCCCAGTCAAAGACTTACAATGTCAAGCAAGCTCTAGAGTCGTTCAGTACCAATGCTGCAACACAGTTATGGAGTTAAATTTTATAGGCTTGATTTGAGTCAGACAGAAGATACAATGCTAGAACCACAGCAGATGAGATTATTTTAATATTTCAAAAAGGTTGGAGCTTGGAGACCGGGGAATTCTGGAAGAAGCTGTGAGGCAGAGCTTCTTGTTGGTTGCTATCCAGGTAGGAGACAGCTTGAGAGTTTCAAGAGGAAAAATAAGCAGCCATGATTGTCAAGCATACAGAATCGGAACATTCTGAAATGAATTGCCCTGCGGGCTATCAAACTTTTGTTTTACTGAGATTATTAGGATGGAGATACTCCTCTGGATTGGTAAAGGAAAACACCAAAAATGACTGGTTGAGATACTGCTTCCACGCCTAAGCAGCTCAGAGTTTGGACTGACTTGTCCTTTTGCACGTGAAAGGACTAGTAATTTAAGAGACCCAAATGACACAAAGATAAACTTTTGCAGAAATCAGGCATACATGACCTTGCCAATTCAAAAACATTAGAAGTTTTAATGTATTTTAATGGCATTCTGGCATTTCTTTAAAGCTGTGTACCATTCTGTTTAGAACAAGCAGCAAATTTCTTGTATTCTGTTCATGATGTGCCTCCTATGTCTTTAAGATTTTGAGCAGTTTTGAGGAGGATTGCTCAGAAACGCCCAGAACTTAAAAACTGAGCAGATTTCCATCTCTTCTTCCCTTCCCCCAGACAGACTTGCTGCAGGAAGAAAAATTAAGACAACACAAAACAAAATCTAGCATTGCAATGAGACTAGCTAATTTAAGGAGCTTAAGTGTCTGCGTATAACACATATGCCCAAGGAACAGCTGGTTCATTTGTTTTTCTTACTGAAAAGCTCCATTCCAAACCCAAGTTGAGCCTGGATTGCTGAATAAATTGGCAATAGTAGAGCTTTCACCTGTAGACTAGTGGTTTAAATCCGATATAGGTCACTAACGCCCGAAACTCATTACAAGCATCACAAAACAAGTGGGTCGTCTGCTGGGTCCTGCAGTACAACAATTCCTAGAGAGCAACGACTGAGGCAGAAAACCTGAACTATCTCTTCATCTTTATTAGTCGCTGATTCCAG